CGAGGCGCGGGCGGTAGTGGAGTCCTGCGGCTGGGTGGGATATAGGGCAATGAGCGTTGAGCAGTGTGCGATGAGCAATGAGCAATGAGCAGTGAGCAGCCCCTCCCTAAACAAAGTGAAGCGCAGGACGGGGTCCGGTGGATGGGAGGCAAGGAAACGCGGGGGGTTGCCACGTGCGCTGCCGCCGCCGCCGCAGGCAGCACCCCTGCGGCGGCGGCAGCGGCAGCAAGCCGTGGACCCAAACGCCGTGCCGCCGCCGCCGCAGGCAGCACCCCTGCGACGGCGGCGGCAGCAAGCCGTGGACCGAAACGCCGTGCCGCCGAGTCCCGTGGCTGTGGCCGTGGGCTTCTGGCAGGAAACTACGGCCGCAACTCGGCAGCACGGGGGCGTCGCAGCGTGCCCCCGCCGCCGCCGCGCTGCCCCCCCGGGCACGGCGGCGGCGGCAGCAAGCTTGGGCCCAAACGCCGTGCCGCCGAGTCCCGTGGCTGCGACCGTAGACCGTGGGCCGGAAACTGCGGCCGCAGCTCGGCGGCACGTGGTTCTGTTCAAATCGCCAAGCGTGCAGCAGCGCCGAACCACGCTTCCCGGCCTCGGCGCATGCCTTCAGGGGCCCCCTATCGCTGGGCACACCCCTCCAACACCGAACATGCGCCCGGGGGGGAGGGCGGCCCGGGCTGCCCAGGCCAAAGTGGGCCGCCCTCGAGCAAGAGGCGGCCGGTCTGTGTGCTGAATGAATGAATGAATGAACTCTATGGTAGGCTCAACCTCCCTGTGCTGGCCCCCGCCGGGGCAACGGCCACCTCCTGTGCGGCTATCGAAAGCAGCGCGATAGTGGTGGCGGCGGGGGCGGCAGGTGGCGGAGCGCGGCGGCAGGCGCCGACAGGCGGCGCATGGGCCTGCTTCCCTGCCGACTGTTGCTGGTGCCTCCTGCTGCCGCAGCCAAGGTGGTAGATGCCAAATTCCTGTGCACTGCCTACCTCGCAGCCAACAATGTGAGTAGCCAATGAGGGCGGCCTGCTGCTGCGCATGCTCCGGGCGGTGTCCCCACAAGTCAACTTGTGCGTGCCTGCCGGGACATCCGGGCACACCCAGCCACCGGCGTCAGGGCCCTGACATCTGCTGCCCGCGGCAACCGGCTAAAATCTGCAGGAAACCATGGAGGTATGCGCCGAGGAGGTGCTGGCATTGAGTGGCGCCGCCAACACCTGCCCCGATGGCTGCATGGAGTTCCTGGGGGTGCGCCGACGCCGCCTCCGCTGCTGCTGCCAGCGTGGCCACCCCTGCACCGGCAGGCCGCAGCCAGCCGCGCATGCTCTGCCTCTGTCAATACAGCTTGGCCTGGCGCGGATCCAAGCCGGTTCCAGCCGCAGCCCGCAACCTCCCAGCCGTCGACCTGGTGCGCATTTAGGGTTTCACCCCTCCGTCTTCTGCAGGGCATGCCATCGGACTGCCAGGCCGCGGTGGCTGCCATCCTGCCGCCCTCGGTGGGCACGCTCAATGTGTCTGCAGACCTGGTATGGGTGGACCAATACTGCGGTACCAACTTCACGCTGGGCGAGGCTGTCGTGGCGGCGGCGGATGCGGCGGCAGGGCAGCAGGCACCCCCAGCCGAGGGCGACAGCGGCGGTGAGCTGGGTGGTGCGGTGGCAGCCCTGCCGCGGCACCAGGAGCTGGTGCCGCGCTGGATGTGCTGGCACCTGTTGTCTGCACAGCTGTGGGTGGTTAAAGGCTGCTGCTGAGGTGGCACGCTGGTGCGGCTGTGTTCTTGCGCTGGATGCAGAGGCAGCGCTTGGGGGCGATGGCTTGTTCGGCGGCGGCACCTTACCTGTTGCCTCTGCGGCAGAGCGCCCGGCCCGACCCGGCGCAGCGGCCTGGGTGAGGCGCCGCCTAGTGCCTCCATTCAGGCCACACATGCTGCCGCTCTGTTCAGCTGAGCCCGCGCTGATTGCCCTGTTGCAGCCATGCCCTTGCAGCTGACCTCTCTCTCAGCCTGATCGCTCTCAGCCTGCGGCGTTGCCCTCCTTGCAGGCCCGTCTGGGAGCAGCAGCAGCAGCACTGGCGGCCGCGGGACTCCTGGTGTGACAATGGGCGTCGGCAGTCCCGCCCCAAGAACATACCGCATGCACTGATGCTTGGGGCAGCAGTCACTGTAATTAATGATGCAAATCTCCCATCATGTGGGGGCCAGTCAACTGGGAGGCTGAAGGCCCATCGCCCGAAATGCCTGCGCCTGTGCCCCCACGTGGGCGATAGATACCCTTGTGCCATCGTTAATCTCCTTCTGGGAAGGGCGCCAGCGCGGGTATCGACGCCAAACACTTACTGTGGGCACAGAAGGAACCCGTGGGGAACCCCCCCCAAGTTGGGAGGCGGGGAACTGCCGGGGCAGCTGGGCGGCCTTGCACCTCACGCCCAGCACGGAGGTGGCACCAAAGCCTCAAAACCAGCCCCAATCGCCTCTATTCCTGCCGATTCCACCCTCTAGATCTCTCAGCACCTTGAAGAATGAGGCACGCTGCAACCCTGCTCCTGCTGCTGGCTGCGGCCATCACATGCCGAGCGCAGATTGAAGGCATGCCGGACCTGTCAAACCTGGGGATTCCTGACGGGATTGGGGATGTTATCAGTGACATCTTCGGCCACCGTGAGTGCTACAGCCCGCTGCTGCAAGCAACGGAGGTGCCATGTCGGGGCAGAGAGGGCCCTCTGCACCGTCCCGAGAGGCGAGGGAGTGCCATTGACGGGCATATTTAGCAAGTGCCGCGGCGTCGAGATTGCGGTTCAGAACCGCATTTTCGCGAACGCGCTGCGGCCGGTACCCTCCAAACGCGAGGGTTCAAGCTCCCTCCACTTCCTGAGGCCTCACAGATGTCCCACCTGGGGCGGCCGCACCGCGCAGCGAAGCCCGCCCCTTCCTCCCACCCATGCCGCCGCCGTTGACCGCCGCTGCCCCTGTTTCATCGCCATGTGGTGCACCGTCCACCCCTTGTTTCATCACCCTCCCGCTTCCCTGTGCTGTCCTGCAGCCAACCAGGCCAGCAACATCGAGAAGTGCGGGCAGTTCTTGGACAACACTGAGGCAAGCTGCTGCCGCCGACAGCAGAGCAGTTCTGCGTTTTGGGGCACTGCCAGCATGCTGGCACAGGCGCAGCTAGCTCCATGCACTATCTGTGCAGCTTGCCTGGAGCGCCGTCAGGAGCCAGCCCAAGCGCAGGCACGTGGGTGCTTACTGGAAGCCTCAGCCGGCCCACCTGCGGTGACCCCGCCTGCTGCACCATGCCGCCCTCTGCTGCCGCAGGCTCAAACCTCCTGCACAGACGAGGAGCAGTTGAACTCCGGGACCTGCCCCGATTCGTGCAAGACGTACTGGCAGGTATGGCGCCCGCTACGCTTCTGGTGCTCTCTCTCGGGGGCTCCACCTCGCGCCCGCCCTCTGCCGCCGCCGTCGTGAGCGTCGTGCTGCCCTCCTCGTACTCCCGGCATGCAGGGCCTGCCCGCCGAGTGCGTGGCCCTCATCAAGCCTGTCTTCGACAACCTCTCCCCAGGCGCATTGTGGGTGGCAGCGCTCGCCGCCTGCCCAGCTCACATGCCCCTTGGCAGCTCGGCCACGGGGACCCTCTGCACGCACGCACCGCGCTTCGTGCTGCCAGCCCCACCCTCAAACTCAGCCCCGGCTGCGCCGCCCTGTCGCGCCCCCGGACACCCACCACGCAGCCTGCCGTCCCTGGTGCAGGGACGCGGTGACGGGCGCGTGCGGCGAGCCCGGCTCCAACCCCATCCCCGTCTCCACCCCTCCTGAGGATCCCATTGTGGATCCCGTTGTGGATGATCCCATGGTGGACCCCATTCCCATCCTCAACTACACTGGGGTGAGGCAGTGCAGTCCTGGCTGTACATTCCTGGCGTACATTCCTTGCAGCCACACGGCTGAGTGAGACCCACGCGCCGCCCAGCGCATGCACCCCCCGCCTGCCGCCCCTCAGTGCCGGCAGGTCCCGCCTTCTGTGCTCCGACGCCTGCTTCCATTCACGTGCTGCCCACCCACCCCTGCCCCGCTGCCCAAATGGCTAACCCTACACCTGCCTTGCTGCATGCCTTTTTCTGACCTTGGCTTTCCTCCACCCTTGCTGCAGTGGTCCTCTAACTTTACCTGCGAAACCGACGGCTTTGCCTGGGTCACCCTGGACCCCACCCTCGCCTCCAGCTCCGCCGGCGCCGCCGCCGGTGAGCTCCAGCCAGGGCAGGGCGGCCGGCCGGCAGCGGCGGCGCCGTGGCCGGCGGCCCGCTGTGGGGTGGCGGCTGCAGCCCGCGCAGCAGCGTACCTCGCAGCCAGCTGCCGCCAGCTGGTGTGCCTGCAGCCTGCCTGCCTGCCCACACGCCGTGCCGGGCCGCCCGCCCTGCCCGCCCGCAGACGCCGCCGCCGCCATCAACTCCACCTGCCAGGACCTCAACACCACCGGCTGCTGCACCGAGGTGGCCGGCAACTACACCTGGGTGCAGTACGGCCTGGGGGTGAGTCGTACCGCATGTTTGCACCGCCGGCTGGTACTTCTCGTGCGCCCTTCTGGCAGGCCCTTGCCTGGGCGCTGCTGCACATTGCCGCCGTCCCTGCCTCCCCCTCCGCTCCCCTCTCCCCTCCCCGGCCCTCCCACCACCACCCTCGTATCCCCCCGCGCCCTCACCTCCCACCTCCCGGCCCCGCCGCCCACGCAGGCGCCCATGTACGTTCGGGGCATCAAGGTGACCGCCCCTGCCGGCAACTGCTGCTCCGACGGCGACTGCACACTGGGTACTGAGCCCTGCAACGAGCAGCTGCTCAACGCCTGGGTGTATGTGGCCAACACCAGGCAAGCCCTCGGTGTTAAAGCTGGCATGGCTGGGCACCCCATTGGGCATGTGGGCATGCTGTTTTTCGGCCGCTTGGCTGCCCAGGATGCACACAGGGCGTGCGTCCCTTCCCGGCAGGCTAGCTGAGGGTCGGGCCCGCAGCTCGCCAGCGCACTGCTGCCACCTCGCCTGCCGCGCAGCGGCCTGGGCGACTCGGCCCGCGCTGCTGCCGCCCAAAGCTGACAGCAGGCAATGCCCCCCCGCCCATCCCCACTCCGCCCTGCCCTGGCCTGCCCTGCAGCATTTCCGATGTGATTGCCGACGTGACTGCCCAGTACAAGGCAACCATGGGAGCCATCCCTGGCTTCACAGGTGAGCAGCCGCTGAGGCTTGCCACCATGTGCACCACGTGGTAGCGAGGTTGCGGCGGGGCTGCTGGTTTGAGCGCTGGCAGGCGAGGGCAGGCCGGGGTGTGCTCGCGTGGGGCGGGCTGGGGAGCCGGCCGCCTGTGTCCGGCCCCTGCTCCCCCGCTGCTGCTGCGGCTGCGGCGCCAGGCTGACTCGACCCCGCCCACCCCTGGCTGACGCCCTGGCTGCACCCCCTGCCTGCCTGCAGATGCCGCCCTTGCTGAGGCGGTGAATGGCCTTGCCTATTCTGCTTACATGGGCAACGCCTCTGCAGGCTTCTGTAACATGGTGCGTGTGGGGCGGCCTGAAAGGCCGAGCCCCTTTCGATTGATGTGCAGCAGGCAGGGCACCGCTGTGCCATGCACGCTGTGCTGCCCGAATGCCGCGAGGGCACGCTGCCAGCCAGCACGTTGCCGCATGCTTTCGGCGGCACCCGTGCGTCGCGCGTTGGCTCTCCCTCGTGAACATCTGCCCCATTTGCGCTACGCCGCAGGTCAACACTTACGACATGTTTGGCGACGGCGTGGACGGCAGCATGCTCAAC